TATCATTTCCCCCACCATTGCCTTTTCTTTGTTAAAGCAACTAGCTTTTTTAAGGTCTAAATTTGTCCTCCTACCAATATTGTCATAACTTTATTCCAAGTTTTAGTGTATTCTATTTTTCTCACCATTCAATTTTAATTGTTTTCTTTTTCTTTTTTCTTTTTTTTTTTTTTTTCTTTTCTTTTTCTGTATTTAGGGCAGGGTCTACAGGGTGTTCAGGGTCTCACTACGTAGATCGGACTCAGTGATTCTTCAGTTTTCAGCCTCCCAAGTGCTGGGATTACAGGCGTGTCCCACCACGCCCAGTCTCAGTCACATCTCAGTGCACCCCAGGGGTGGGGCCAGCACAGCACTCTGGGGATCAAACCCCGGCTGCTCCACTCTGCCTACGCAGGTGCTTTAGTCCGCTGAGCTATCAGGCCAGTCTTAATTGTTTCCTTTTTGATCCATGATCCATTTAAATATGTATTCAGAAGTTTTTCACATGTGTTATATGAAAATTTGTACTTTATTTTGGGTATTGTGTTTTATTTGTACTTTAGTTAGATTGCATTTTAGCAGAATGCTGTGCAGCATTTCAGAATGATTCTTTGGTGTTTATTCCCCTTTGCTTTGCTAGAATGTATATTTTCACATTGTGTCTTGCATGTCTATATAAAAAGAATATATGTATATATTCCAAAATAGTTGACTTAGAGTGTTTTATACAGCTTGTCTGTTAGACCAGTCTTGTTAATCATAATCAAAGCTTCCATTTCCTTTGTGATTTTTGTCTCTTTAGTCACTTTCTTAAAGAGGTATATATGCCAAACTTAAGTGTGACTTGTGCTTGTAATCTTTTATTCTGTCATCATTGGCTTTATTCATTTTGAAATTCTTGTTGGTTCCTTTCGGTTCAATATTGCTTGTCTTTTGGCGAAGTCACTGTTCTGTGTATCTTACTTACAGACAGCATCCCTAACTGTGACTTTCTGCCTTGAGGTTTGTTTTTGCTAATCTTTTTTTGTTTTTGACATTTCTAAGATGGTAATTATATGGTGTCTAATTCTTATGTCTTTCGAGTTTTTGTGTCATCTTATTTTACTGTTGCTTATAAACATACATTTTATTTTTAATAGTTTAATTTAAATATAGTTTTAATTATTGATATATTTATTTAGTATATGCTTCTAGATTTTTGTTTTCTATTTTTTCAGTATTTTTTACTATATTTTACCCTTAAAATTTATTTTTCTTTCTGGTCTTGTATTAGACTTAATGTTTCTAATTTATCCTTTTTCATTTTTTAACTGCTTTAGAAATTATGAATTCTTTCATTTAGACTTATTACCCATAATTTTTAATCAGCATATTGTTTTACCAATGTTTCATTCTACTCCATATCACAGTCCTTTTTTAGGTAATAATATTCTTTCACTTATTGTTTTTGTTATATAAGAAACATCTATATTTGATAATGAGGTCATAAAGTCTAAATCTAATGAAGCTAACATTTTTCGTTCCCCCAATATGTAAATGAAAGGAGTTTTTCAAGTTTGAATATTTACAGTTTTAGTCAAGAATATTTTTCCAGGTGTATTTTCTTATCACATATCACATGTCATAAACATGCTTGTGATGCATAATAACAACAGAGTTACTGGGGCCAAGGAGATGGCTCAGTAGAACAAGCGGTTCCCTGGCAAGCGCAAGGGTTTGAGTTCAATCCCTGGTTTTGCAAAAAAAAAAAAAAAATTATTTATACTCAATAATGTGCAACATTAATAATTGTATAGTTTTAAATGTATTTCTTTTCAAATGCTAACTCTAGTATTTATTAGGCATTATAAACTATAAACTCTTATTATATGCTTATTTAACATATCAATTACCAAAAATTTGCTAGTCCTGACTGCCATAGTGAGGATAGTCTTCACCTAATGGTTATATTTCTCAAGGTTGTGTGGTTATTACCTATTACTCATAAACCATAAAATCAGAAAGTTCTTAGAAATCAGCCTTTGGGTTTTTTTTTTTTTGTTTTATTTTTTTGTTTTTTAAATTAATTTTATTGAGAAAGAAATAGCAGTGAGACAGTATCAAAACAGGTTAGTAGGACAATTACAATAATTAATACATCGCATATTGTTATCTTTGTATTAGTCGTTTTTTAATAAATTAGGAAATTCACTAGATCCTAATGGATTACTGACTTGGACCTGAAATCCAGTCCCTCATTTTCAATTTAAAATTGTTCATTTTGAAGCCTATATAACACTGGAGTGATAGCTCAGCAGCATAAGCGCCTGCCTGGCAAGCACAAGGTCCTGAGTTCGATCCCTAGTACAATTTTTTTTTTTATTTTCCCCATAAAACCTGTATTATCTTTCTGTTGTTTTTTTGTAAAAAACTTACTTTTGGATAATTCTCTTTTGAAACAAGTATAACAGGTGCAGTGTTCTTCTGTATAATAATTTACCTTTTTATGGCTATACTTGCCTTAACAGCAAAAATGTTATAATAATGATTAAATAATTAACTTAAATATAATGATTTCTTTTATTGATTGCAGATGTAAACAGTGTTCTACTTTGAAACCAATACAAAATTTAAGTTCCCTTTCTGGTGAGACATCATGGATTCCTTCGTCTGTGGCAGAAGGTTAGCTTAATTTCCTTTAACTGTGTAGAAGGTTATGCTGCTGATTTATATTTCAGGATTTATAGATATATACAACTGAGGTGTAATTGCTCTTGTGTAAGAAAACTACACTGATTATAATGAGAACAGAGTAAATGTTTAAAATATTTACAAAATCTTTTCATCTTCTAATATTTTTAATTATAATGGATATTTAATATTCAGTAATTTGTTTTCCTGTTACCCATTGATCATAAATACAGTTTCTGAAAGATCTCTGCAGCTCGGATATCTTGAGATTGAACAGGGTTTTAGAGAGCTGCTACAACTTTTCTCCCAGTCTTCATCTACCTGGGGCCACAAGCATCTTTTTTGTTGCAATTTTAACTATAGTCACCCAGCCCTTTGTGAATGAGGTACTTGTTGCATTGAAAGTTAGTGTGTACCCTTACATTTTTGTCACTTAATACTGAAGCAAAGTCAGTCTACATGTAACTTCAGTAAGGCCAAGTTCTGTGTGCTAATTATGCAGATGATGTATTTCCTGTTCTATGTGACAACCAGACTTTGTTCATTTGAAGATGTTTCTTCAGCCTCCATTGACACTTTATTGCTTTAAGCAGGTGACTTCCCTTCCTTTGGTTCTCTCACAGATTCCTTATTATTTTGCTTCTCCTCTGCAGTGAACATTCTGCCTTGCTAATGTTTTTAAAATTTGGCATTCAAAGCTGAACACAGGGCTGCAGATGTAGTTTGGCAAATTCAGAATACAAGGAAAATTATTTTTCTGACACTAGCCACTCAGATTCCACTAACCTGAAATTTCATTTTATGGGTATTTGTATTCTTTGGGGTGTGTGTGTATGGGTGTGTGTGTTTTAAGAATACAAAATGGGCAAAAATTAGAAATAAAAATTTCATTAAATGAAGTAATAGGCATTTGAGGATGGTTATTGTATTGCATCATGTTATCTTCAAATTAGCTGTTTAAGTTACCAGATATAAACCTGCAGAATTGGTTTTAAAATAGTTATAAGAAATTATAAAGAAGAAATAAATAAATTATATTTCCTTAAAAAAATTAAGTTCTAACTGCTCCTTTCAATAGGTTGGCAGAAATCAGCAGTACAATTACTTAAGCTAGCCTACATATATACATAAATATATCTTTTTCCCTTCTTGCTTTTGTCCTTTTCCCCATCCCAGTTTTTCCTTCCCACTGAATAGATTCTTTCCCCTTCACAGTATCTGTTGTACCTTTCAGATTTTACTCTTTCAGGTTCTCACACTAGCGAGACAATAAGATGTTTGCACATGTGGGTCAGATTTATTTCAGTGTTTTCTTCCTTTTTATTTTTTAGTCCCGCTCTGTCACACTATTATCTGTTACTTTGTTTGGTCCTGTGAAGTCTCCTGTTAACTTTTACCTAAACTTCTCTGCATCATACTCTCAGTGCTGTTTTGTTGTAGTTGTTTGTTTTTATGGTCTCTCAACATAGGTTTTAAGCTCATCCTTCTGGGTTTCAGTGTACTGTTTTAACCAGTTGAGAACTTTTGAAGCCTAAAAATCAATTCCTTTATATTAATAGCATGTAGTATGCTTAAGCTGATGTCACTTGCCCTAATTTATTATTTGCCTGCTTAGGTAGTCCTACTGTATAGGTAGGCTCCCTAGTCAGCAGTTAGTCTACTGTGTAGGTAAGCATCCCTGGGTAGAAGCTAAGATAGCATTGTGTGAGCATGTTGAGGTAACTTTTTCCAAACAAAGTGCTCTTGTCCTATAAATTCTCATGTACTTTGTATCACAAATTTCTTTTTTTCTCACCTTAGAAAACTAAAATCCTCAGTTCTTACATTTTTGTCCATTAAGCAGATGATATAGCTTAAAAATAATAAGCATCACTGATACTTATAATATGAAGAGAGCTATTTTTAGAACATTCTAGCATCTTTTACCTTCCATATGATTAGCATATAACAAATTACACTGTATAAATTATTTTTGTGATTTCTTTTAAGATATAAGCGCATGCTAATGGTACAATGTTTAATTCAAAAATTCAATTGCATGTAATACATGTGACATTATCCCTTTGTAAAGGTAGTGGGAGTATTCCAAAATGAACCTGCTAAGCGAGTTTAGCAAATTAATATTAGAGAACAAAAGTCATCTGTGTAGGATTTTCTTTATTGCTGAAGTTATTTTAGTAAGCACAATTTGTATGTACATAGAGTTGATTTTATCTTGCTAAAGACTGATGTGGCTTGGTCTTCTCTTTCCTCCTTAGTATTGGGCATTGTACCCCTGCAGCATGTGTTCGTTATGACATTTATTCTCGATGATGGAACAGGAGTGTTAGAAGCTTATCTCATGGATTCTGTAAGTAATAGGGCTGGTAAAAGATATTTCTAATTATAGCTAATATGTTAAAAAATTAATAAATTACTCCTGCTAATTTATTTCTAAAAGAATGTAAGGCAACTTAAAAGTATAAGTAAAATACAAACACATAAGCTATCTGTTTATCTTTTTGTTTTATGAATTGTAGAAAAGTGAAGAATTTAGAAATACAAATGAGTAATTTTTTTCTCCCATGTATAAATTCTGCTCTAGAGCCAAAAAGTAATGTCCACATTATGTCAGCATTATTTATAATCATTATTTCACCATAATTTGTAAACATATTTCATATTAGAGGAACTAAAGTTATTTTTTAAGAAAATAGATACTGTATAAAGTTGTAGGCAGGTAGCCTAAATCACTTGAGTTGAGACCAGTACTGTAGTTCTTGAATTGTACAGTCTTTGTAGAGTGAAATAGTCTAGGTATGTTAGTAATTAAATTTTAAAATATTCACATTAACTAAAGTTTCAAAAAAGTTAATACCATTTTCTTTATCTTTCATACTTTTTTAGGACAAATTCTTCCAGATTCCAGCATCAGAAGTCCTACTTGATGATGACCTTCAGAAAAGTATGGATTTAATCATGGATATGCTTTGTCCTCCAGCAACAAAGATCGGTAGGCAGCATAATTTTATTTATTTATTTAATGTATTTGGTACAGGGTCTCACTGCAGCTCCAGATTCCTAGTGATCCTTTTGTTTTCAGCCTCCTCAGAACTGGGATTACAGATGTGGGCCACCACACCAGGATTCTGGTGGTTCAACCCACCCTGGGACAGGGCTGGGGCAGCATGTGATGCTAGGGATCGAACCGCGGTCCCTGCACTTGCCTAAGCTTGCCTGAGCTTATCTAAGCAGGCGCTTTAGTGTGCTCAGCTATCTCACCAGCCCCGGCAGTATAATTTTAACACCTACCCCTCTTTTTCGCAAAACAGCAATATATACATTTGGAATTGTCAGTACTTTAGCTTTAAGTGATTGATCCACACTGTATCATCAACCTTTTGATGATAGGTTCCAAATAAGTATGATCAAAAATAGAGTGAGTGTTTAAGAATGTGTGTTGTAGTAAAAGACATGCTGTCATTAATCCCTCTTGAAGTTCTTCCTCTCGCCTCAACTCTGCTTATCCTATCGTTCTTGGCCACTTTCCGCAGCGGTTGTGGAAGTCCTTTCTCGGGAGTGTCTTTAATTGCAGTTTCATGGCTGCCCCAGTATCCTGAATTAATTCAGAAATTTCAGGGCTGTTTCATCAATTAAAAAGTGTATGGGGTGTTGACTTCTGGCTTTGGAATTAATTTAGGACATGGAGGCAGCCACAACAGAGCAATTAAAGACATGAAAAAAGACTTCCAGAACTGCTGCAGAAAGCAGGGAGAACAGTGGCATAAATGTGTCTGATTTGAGAGAGATTGATGGCAAGATGTGTTTTACTGTAATTTTATTTAGAATTTAATAATTCACTGTACTTTCAACCATACCTTGTATAATAGAAGCAGTTTTGATTTTAAAACGTATTTGGCTGTTTATGCAAGAGTACATTTTACTTGAAATTATTCTGAAAGGCATGAAATATTTTCAAGAAACATTGAAGATTTTAGTTAGTAAATTTTTAATGTACTTTAGAGTAATCAATGAGGCTTACATTCAGATCAAATTCCAAGTTTTCCTTCTCAGACCCTTATTTTTCTGTTCAGTCTTGGAGTTCTCAATCATAAAATCATACACTTCTCTTCATAGTTTTCATAGTAACAAACATTATCTGCTGTAAATTTAGCTGTTGTTTAATTTCTATAGGTTATTTTTAATGAACTTTACTTTTTCTGCTCTATCACTGCATTTTAATTAACAGTTCTGAAAATTGATGGTTTTCGTTCATCTATAACAAAATATAACTTGTATATTTATTTTACTGTCATTTTAACTTGTGTTGGGAGTTTGAATTATTTGGGGCATATTTCTGGGAGTAAAATTCCTGGACTGTTAGTTTTAATATGTACTGCCAAATTATTGTTCCAAAAATATTTTACATATTTACATTTCTACATGCAGTGAAGGACAGGTATCTGTCAAGCTTTACCCTTGCCAAAGTAAATGCTTTTCAGTGTTAAATGTGAATAATCATAAGGACCTTCTCTTGAAACTGAGTAAATTTATTGATTAGAACCAACATCTGGAAATGACATACATCCATGTTCCCCAACTCGCCTGGACTCTGAGAACCACATCAAGTTCAGTGGTTAGGCTCAGTATTAACCTTAGGGGAAAATTTGATTCGGTTCTTATCTGGTATACAGAAAGAAAGAAATTCGTGAAGTGACATGTCAGTCGCTGAGCTGTAAGCATGGAAAAAGGCATGAGATTTGGAGATGAGATAATTACAACACCTTGGCTGTCATTTTGAAAATCTCGATCATGTTTGTCTGTTGTTGATAAGAAATTCAACTTAGACATTATTAATAGTTACCTTTTTATTTTTAATGGCTAAATACCATTTTCTTTTTAATTTGCAGATGCATATCCGTGGATGGAATGTGTTATCAAATCGTACAATATCACAAATGGAACAGAGCAGCAAATTTGCTATCAGATTTTTGATACCACAGTTGCGGAAGATGTTGTCTAATATTGCCATCCAACCTAGCATATGAAAAATATTGTAATTTTAGGAAACTTTACAAGTTCCTTTCATAAAACACCTAAGAGATATAGCTACATACAGTCACAGTTACATTTTAATCACAATTTCAGGTTTTTAAAAAGATAAACAGACATTGTGCCACCTTCATGCCTTTTGGTAAAAATGTTCCGATTGCTTAAAATGTCCAACATGACTTCCAGAGACTAAAAAAAGAAGTACATTGAATAAAAAAGGATCATATTTTCACTTGCTTTTTGAGGTCTTTCTTGAGAGGACATTTTATTCCTGTGCACCAGTCACTTGTCCTGGGTTGGGCTGTGTGCTAGCCTCTGACTTCTCTGTCATACACCCACCCTGGCTTCTTTTTTTGCCTCTGTTTTCACCCCAGCTGTGTTGGTGATGTTAGCATGGTGTGGGATTAGAAAATATCCTCACTCTTAATCTCTCAGCTCCTACTGAGAGCACAGCATATAGTGGCTACTGGCTTTGTTTAGTTTTCCTTTTCAAATCGTTGTTACGATTACATGTCTGCAGTACAGGTGAATGCGCTCCTTGTGGGGGTTGAATTGTGCAGAGGGTGCATCTCAGTGCTTTTTCCTCCCCGTTGCCCTCCTCTCCCTGTTTGCAGGTCTGCAGCTCATCTGCACAGTGTCTACTTCCCCGTTTGCTTTATTGTTTATTTTTTGCTTTTTAAAGTATTCACGTTTTGACTTTCTCAAAGGAGAGCAACCATACACATAATTTTCTGTGTCTGATTCAGAGCACTGTGCTCTGAAAATGCATATTTTTATTACAAGTGATTCAAGCTTATCTCTCTTTATGGAAGAGTTGAACTCCCTTGTGTATGATTCTACATTTTCCTTATCCATTTATCTACTGATAGATACATAGGCCATTTTCAAGATTTAGCTATTATAAATTTTGCTGCTATAAACATGGTCACTCATGGAGAACTATAATATGATGTCTTTTAGTTCTGTAGAAGATGTCAGCAGAAGCCTACCTGGGTCAACCAGAATTTAAATTCTTACTTTTTGAGGAATCTCCATACTGGTTTCGATAATGGCTGTACTGGTTTATATTCCCAACAACAATGAAAAAGTGTTCCTTTTCCTCACAACCTCATCAACATTTGTTTTTCTAATAAGAGGTGTTGAACTTTTTTTTTAAATGTTCTTTTGGGACATTTGTATGTGTTCTGCTGAGAAGTTGCTATTAATTTTATTAGCCTGTTTTTGATTGGGTCTTTTACTTTGGGGGTTTAATTTGTTTGAATTCTTTATGTCTTCTACATATTAATTCTCTGCCCAAGGAGCAATGAGCACAATTTTTTTTTTCCTATTCTGTAGATTGTCTTTTTAGTCTGTTTCCTTTGTTCTGCAAAAGCTTTTTAATTTACCAGGCCAATTATTTAAATGCAGGTTGACCAAAATTGAATATTTTCAGTTAATTTGTTTATGCTAATATAACAGGAAATAGAAAAATGACATTTTCATAAAATTTACTTGATAGAAGAATCAACTAGTTGACACCTGCCCAGGTGACACTCAGGATAGTATGTAAACAAACAATGCCTGAGTGTTGCTTGGGGTACACTGTTAAGTGATTAATTTGGTAGTCCCATCTGTTAACTCTAGGTGTTATGTATTAGGCCAAATGTTGGGTAGTGGAATGATCCGGTGCAACAAATAAAGCAAGTGCAGCAACGTAGGTATCTGGCTGTCCACACACTAGGTACTGTGTGTCCCGAACCAGTGGGTCAGTCAACGAAGGTGACCTGGGGGAGGAACGGGGAATTGAAGAGGGGACAAAGGACAGGAGATGCGAGAAACAGAGACAAGACAGGATTCTGATCAAATCTCACTTTATTCAGGAGAGGTGCTGGGTATATATAGTAGAGACATAGGGAAATGACAGTGGCAGGTAAAAGGCGCAAGTAACTAGGCAACCGGGCTATGACAGGAAGTCTTGGCTCTTGGGGTCAGCAGGTATCTAGGCAACGGGGGAAGTTGCAACCCCTGGGGCATAGCACATGATTCACAGGGAATGGGCAAGGTGAGAAGGACCATAAACTTAACTCAGCAGGGGAATAGAAACTTAAGAAAATGGCTGACACTATTATAAAATGGATACCAGTTAATGGCCTCCCACAACTGTGCTCATTACTTAACGTGTTTACCTCACAACTCATTTTCTTAGAAGAAGACCAAGGCTTGATTAGTAAACTAACAAGTAAGTTCACACAATTTCTAATTCTAGTCAGACTTGAATTCAGGTCATCTGGAACAAAATACATCATGGGGTATTCTGTACATAAGTATTGTTGTAAATATCTGAATTTTCATTAGAAATAGATAAAGGGTATAAGAACATTGCCCTCTGAAAAAACTAATAATACATTATTTGATAAAACGTTTGGATAATTTACTTACTCTCTTCATAATCCTGAATTCTAATTCCTGGACATATTAGTACATCCCAACACCTAACTACAGACCTGTCCTGGTACTGACTTATTACCAGCTTGATGGAAACAGACTGATAAAAATGCAAAATCCTACAGCTGAATGGATGTGCTTTAGTCCTGATGATGTGGTAGAGATGCAAAGATGAGATGGACATTTTCTTTGTCCTCAGTCTAGACATAGTCACAGGGCCATGTATTCACACCTGTGGGCTCTGCATGTTTGCAGAGGAAAATTCTTCTAGTGTATCTTCATGCTGCCAACTGTCTTCATTACTTTCTCTTCACTGGGACAATGTAGCTGACATCTTCAACTTTAAAAAGGAGAGGTTTGTTTTGCCTCACAGGTAGGTCCTAGAGGTTTTGGGCCATGGTTGGCTGCCACCAATGCAGAGCAGCATGGCAGAGTGGCATGTAAGGGGAGCCAGGGTTTGTGACATGGCAGCAGGAAGCGGAGAGGGCTGAGAAAGAGCGAGGAAGAAGGCATGGTGACCTCCAGGGACCCACCCCCTCTGGCCAGGCTCCATGCACAATGCCTATTGAGCTGTAAGCTCCCCAGTGGGCCAATGTAGTGGTTGATACATCGTGCCAACTTGGCCAGATGATTCTGCGGCGCACGATGGGCTGGTGGGGGTCCCGCCCTGGGGCAAATTGGTTCTGCCCCCAGAGTGACTCAGCACAAACAGACCATATAAAGGGGATGAGGAAATAGTCGACTTTCCACTTCGTGGGAGGAGCTTCAGTCTTCGCATTCGTCTTGGACTTCATTGTCTGGCTTGTGGCGCAGACTCTTCCGTCTCCGGCTTGGATCCTCCACCTTCGGTTGCAGACTCTTCAGCATTGGTCACAGACTCTTCAGTCTTCCTTCGCAGACCCATCAGCTGAGGAAGAGAGACTTGCACGGAGCACAGCAGTGAGCGTCAGACCTTGGGACTGAACTCCTCAGTCTGGGGTGTGTACACTCCGCCATCTGACTCTGTAAGCCAATCTTGTAATTCCTTATATATTGTACATCTTGTGTTAATATCTGTTCCTTATATTATATCTGTTCCTCTAAGTAAAACCCTGCCCAGTATAGCCAATCTGCTGCTCAGCATCTCACTCCAGGAGCCATTAATTTCCAAAGCCCCCTGTGTGAGGCTCTGAGGGCGCATCAAGACATAAGCCGTAACACTACAGAATGTTTTTGTTCTTTTAAGTAAATGTTCATATAATCATGATTTTGTTTGCTATTATTATGGGTGTTTTATCTTGTTTCTTTTCCTTCTTCCAGCGTTGAAAAGAAGAGTTCCGTAAACTCCCAGCGGTTATCCAGGGACAGTACATGCACAATACCCTGATCAGGAATACGGGCATTGGGAAAATCTTTTTTCTAGAGCAGCAACAGGGTGGCAGGCCATTATGCCCAGGCTTCATCTCAGTCCCTTGTAAGTGAATGCTGGTAAGTCTTACATAAAATCACATAAAGCATCAATTTTTAATTTCTACAGCTGTTGGGCGCCCGCGCCCTACATGCTTGCCCTCCCCCACGG